GTGATGATTTCTCGCTTTCTGTCTCTCTGTCTCTCTCTGTCTCTATGGCAAGCACATACACTCTATAGCCAAAACCTCCCCCCGCCCAAAAAAAAAATAGACTTGATCTTTAAGGAAGTGCTGTATACACTGCCATTACAACATCATGGGCAAAAATAGCAAAATAGCCAAACGCAGAAGGACCAATGCTACAAGATAGCACAGAAGTAATCTAAAACAATCCATTGTTACCTGAGACAGGGAAAGACGAAAGTACACACAGGGGCAAGTCCGTCCTGAGAGGTGGGAGCAGGCGGGATGCCAGCCTTGCTGGGTGGACCTTGTGGGCTTCTCCTGGGTCTGTGGGCACTGCCCGCCCTGCCTGCTCCTGACTGGCTTTCTCCTGTCTCTTCCCCGTTTTCCACTCCTCTTCCTGGCCCCCCTTCACCTCCGCACCTGCTCTGACGGGTCTTACCTAGCTCCCAGGAGTGCCTCGGGGGGACCTGCGAGGGAGGGGAAGGGCGATATGTGAGTGAGCTGAAAGCCACCGGAGGGTTCCGGAACTGAGCCCTGCGTTTGCTCCGAGTGCATAAGCCTCCTGTCCGCAGTCGCAGGGTCTGGCCCGCAGAACGGTAGGCTGGGCCCTTCCGTAGGCAATGCCCCTGACCTCACCCTCCCCACTCACTCGTGTCCATCCACCCACCCAACATTCCCCCTTATGGGTTTGAGGCCCCCAAAACTATTGTGGGGCAAAGGGTGCAATGTCTTTTGTGTCTGCTTCCTGCTGACAGCAAATGGTGACTTCACCAGGGTCCTGCTCACCTGCTGTCAGAGGAGGGCACTTTCCAGTTCCCTGGAACCATTTTCCACTGATATCCAAAGGTGATGTACGAAGGGGTCAGTCCCTGAGGACTGGGGTCAGTACCCAAGGACCGAAGTGAGTAACCGAGTTCGGGGCTCAGCACCTGAGGACCAGGGTCAGTACCCCAAGGACAAAGGGTGTATCTCAACACTGTGGGGCTGGCATCTTTGCCCCTCCGTTGAAAGGTGGGGTGCCCCAGTCACCTCAGAGCCTCCTAGACCTACTCCCCGGAGCAGACCTGAGCTGAGAAGGGCCCGGTGGCCTGCTGGCCTGTCCTTTCTGCTCAGAACACAGGGAGTCAATTGGCAAGCGGCTCCTTGACCACCTGGGTGGGTCCTGTGTCTGCCGCCCTGGGGGGGTAGGAGCCAGCCCGGCCGGGGCCCAGGTGGCCATACAGAGGGCAGCAGCCCAAGGCCCAGCACCGTTGGCATGTGTGGAGGCGAGGACCGCAGCTCTTACCGTGGAAGGCATCATTCCTCAAGAGCCGAAGGCCTGAGACAGCATGCTCTCCTGCCGGTAAAAGCGTGAAGTGCGCTCCCGAGGAGGGTCGCACACCTGCTAGGACCGCCATGACCTTGCCATTAAGCCTGAAGGTGCCTTTGGCGTTCCTGAGTCCTAATGTCTGTTGACTTCCCTTGAGAGCCTCCACGTTGGATTCCGAACACGCTCTTCCACACTCTCCACCCAACCGGCAGAACGACTTTCACTCTTGTCCTCTGACCAACCACCGGGCCTCTGCTCTGGCCTTGGCCCCGGCTCTTCTGTGCCCTTTTCAACTCACGGTGTGACTATCACATTCTACCACCAGCCCGAAACCCTCCTGAGCCCCACACTCAGGCACGCCAATGCACCCGGCACCACACGCCCCCTACAGGCTGAGACCCTGCATTCTCCTAGAAAGGGCACCATGAGCCGCCTCAGGCTTGTCTAAGGTCAAAGGAACATGGTGAGAACGGAATTGCCAGGGCTCTCCTCAGGGTGTGGGTGGGTGCCGCTCGATCTACCTGTAAATAGGGCCCGATCCTCTCTCACTAATCTTAAGAACTCACAAACTGAGGGACCAGCAGATGGCGTAATGTCGCTGGACTCCCATTTAGTCAACTGTGATTCGAGTCCCAGACCTGGCGGCTTAATCCCAAAAGGAGAAAGGAGAGGGGTTTGCAGAGTGATTTTCCACTTTCCATCTCTCCTGCAAGTGCACTCTATGGCAAAAAGTTCTCCCCCTCCCCCCAAAAAAAGGACAATTTTGAGGATTACCTGGCAGTGATAGCGACTTTGAGGGAAAAGGAAAAAGGCTTACAATGACACAGATGTGGGCCGGGTGACGGTGAGGTTACGCAGCTAGGTCCACATGGCCGAGTGCCCGACCCAGTGGCCCAGTGAAACACTGTGGGCACGCAGGTGAGTGTGCCCAAGGTCCTGAGGAGTAAGAAATGGAGGTGACTAGGGCGTGACCATTTCCCACAGAGCGGGCGCATTCCCCCTTTCCTTCCCTCTGGTCAGGGGAAAAAAAACGTTCACACGCATGTAATTTTATTTATTTACTGTCTCACAACATCTAGTTCAAAAAGCGTTCTATTTCGTCTTCTTACTCCAGGGGTGTTATTTCCAGCACAGAGAGATCTCCCGTCGGGACACCCGCATCTGCGGTGGTAGAACTCAGTTCAGATGTCTGCTATAAAATGGAAAAAAGGTTTTAATTACTTTTTTGGTAGAGGTTGTCTTAGGGCACATGCACTTGCCAGAGAGAGAGACACGGAGAGGGAGAGAGACGTCACCCCCAGAGGGGACACCGCAATTCCGTCTCCTCCCGGGACCCCAGCCATGCACGCACAAGTGCCAGGGTGAGTCTCAAGGTACCAGGTCCAGGACTGGAATCACAGCTGGCCATGCGGAAGTCCAGCACCTAAACCACCACACCACCTGCTGGACCCCAGGTCTTATCTTCACGTTTTATTTGAGCTTAGTCAGTAGCCTGTTATGAACTCTGCAGGGAAGGAATGGCCTTTAAGTGAAGGGACTCTTTTCGCACACTCTAGAGACAGGGTCTAGGAGGTAGGAGGACTCGACCTGAACGGAACGGATGAAAGAAGCCTTTCGCCCTCCTCCTTCCCCAAAGGGACAAGCTGTGCTCCCAGCACTCACTCCACACGGGGACACTGAGAGGAAAGTCACTGACAGGGCCAGCAGTGTTCCCGGGAGCCAGACCCACACAGCCAGCCATGCTCTGATCCCAGCCACGCCGGACACGTATGTGTGGGCGCCTAAAATCACTGTGGGTGGACACGTGGAGCAACGAGGGGTAAGGCGTGACCGTGCCCCGTGGGCACGCAACCGCACCTCTAGCTAGCACGCGTGCTCTCTGGCTCTGACGATTTTAATAAGGCGATTTATAGCCTTTGCCTCAGGAAGGTACAGCTTGTTCACACGACTGCTGTGAGAACTGAGTAATTATGAGTGAGCAGTGCGGTCACCAGGGCCCTTCCAGGAGAGAAATGCTACGTGAGACAAACCTGCGTGCCAGGTGGGTGCGCACGCCGGGCTGACCTCGCCTCAAGGCCACCCGCGCACGCGCCCCCTGCCCAGCCACAGCTAATACAAGGCACCTTTCTTGTAACATCTCCTCTATTTTCCATATTACCATTTACTCTAGGTGCAAACTCAAAGCACCCATCTGTTTTATTAAAAATTGGGGCCAGGGGACCAGCAGGTGGCGTGGTGGCTAAGGTGCTGGACACCCCCGTGTGGCCGATCACGGTTTGAGTCCTGGACCTGGTGGCTTGCTTTCTCACTTTCTCTGGTCAAGTTAAAATAAATGAATGAATAAAATAATTCTTAAAAAAAAATGGGTTAGAAGAACTACTACCTGTAAAAACCCTTAGGACAGTTGCTCGTCCACAGTAAATTTTTTTTGAGGTTTTTCGCTATAGGGTGCGTGCGCTCGCCAGAGAAAAAGAGACGTTGAGACAGAAAGCGAGAAATCACCCCAAAGGGGGGTGGCCACACCACAACCCCTTCTCCTTTCTCCTCTCAGGATCTTGGGCACGCACGCACACGCGCCCGGCCTGAGTTTAAGCCGCCGGGTCCAGGACTCGAACCGTGGCCGACTATGTGGGAGTCCAGCGACATAGCCATTACGCTAACTGCTGGTCCCAGTCCACAATAAATTAAAAATTGGGGACAGCAGATAGTGTGGTGGTGAGGGCACTGGAGCCCCAAGAGTTCAAGTCCCAGCCCTGGCCCCTTGCTTTCTCACTTTCTCACTTTCCCTCTGGGCAGCGCACATACGTTACAGCAAATTAAAACAATGTTATGTTTCTTTTAAATAGTTAAAAAATCACTTTTGTCAACAATTCTCCACCTTATGCTCCCAGCTAAGTCAGGCTCTTCACACCTTATATCCAGTTACTTCAAGTTTCTGCTCATATCGGATTTCTGGGCATTCTCTACTCAATTTATGTTGTCCCCTTACAGCCTACAGGATCAAAAGCAAACGGAACCTACCCATCCTGCTTGGCCTGTGTTCTTCCCCCACCCATCACAAGTCTCAGGCCATACCCCGGAACACAGCCGGCCTGCTCAGGTTGCCGGCCCAGACCCTGAGGTCCCCGCCTACTCACCTTCAGGTGCGCTCCATGCGAGATCTTCCGAGAGTGAACTGGGGTATCCGTACAGACTCCTGTACCTGGCCACCCCCGCCTCGGTCTTCACCCAGACCTTGTGGAACTCGGCGTGGCGAGCAGGCTTCCTGCGAGGTTTCCACTCTATCTCCTGGCCAATCTGTAGGTAAATATGGCCCTCGTACAAAAGCAGGGAGCCTCTGGGAGCTTCTTTAAGATGGTAGTCTAGCACACAAATGTCATCACTATCTTCCTCAAATAACAATTCCACGTTGTCGTTCTCCTCGATTTCAGAAAACAGATACCTGAAGCCGCGCTCATTGAACAGTATGTACTTTGTCTGTCGCTTGGGGCTGGTGATGGCGGCATTCAGTCTCCTTTCTCTCATCATTTCCTTAACCTGACGTTTAAGGTAGCGCGTCACATACGACCGACTTTTCTCATATAGGTCTGCACTGTAATCCCACTCTTCAACAGCTTCATCACCCCCTTCACCTCCGAGGGCTCCTTCCCCTTCAAGGTCCCCGTCACCTCCGAGGGCTCCTTCACCTCCGAGGGCTCCTTCCCCTCCAAGGTCCCCGTCACCTCCGAAGGCTCCTTCCCCTTCAAGCAACCATCCAGCTTCATCGCCATCTTCACCTCCGAAGTCCCCGTCACCTCCAAGGTCCCCGTCACCTCCGAGGGCTCCTTCCCCTTCAAGCAACCATCCAGCTTCATCGCCATCTTCACCTCCGAGGTCTCCTTCACCTCCAAGGTCCCCGTCACCTCCGAGGGCTCCTTCCCCTTCAAGCAACCATCCAGCTTCATCGCCATCTTCACCTCCGAGGCCCCCTTCACCTTCCTTGCACTCTTCACCTACAAAGCACCATCCACCTTCATCTTCGCCTTCGAGGCCCCGTTCACCTTCGAGGCCCCCTTTACCTTCAAGCCACCATCCAGCTTCGTCGCCCCCTTCAGGCCGTGCTGTGTCTTCCTCCATGCAGCTCATGTCACACTGAATCCCTCGGTCAACTCTAGCACCAGGCGCTGCAATCAGGACGGGACTTGGAGGACGTCTTACGCCAGGCGGATGCGGCTTCCGAGGTTCCTCTCTCAGCTCAGCCACACCCGCGGACACAGCCTCCTCACCTTCACGGGGAGGCTGGTACACTCCGCTGTCTCTGCAGGGCCCCTCGTCTCCATGGGGTGATGGCTGGGCCAGCGGGGTTGGCGAGGGACAGTGGCTCTCTGGGAGGCCTGGCTTTCTCCTCCCTTTGCCCAGGTGCCCTTGGGGACTGGGTGGCAGGCTCAGGGCCTTTGCTTCCGTGTGAGATGGGCACTGCTTCAGATCGTCCGACTCGCACACTTGTGACTTCAGGTTATTCTGGCTTTTAACAAACTGAACCTCCTCACTGGCCTTCGTATCCAGAGCTAGCAGGTTCGGGGGAACGTCCCCACACCTGCTCCTTCCTCGGCTCACGGTCACCCGCACAGCACTGCCTGACTCCAGGATCTCGTCTGAGGCCCTGGAAGCTCCCTTCCTCGTTGCCGCGCCCTTGCCCTCAGGGGTACAGGGGAGCCCTGAAGGCAGGCTGCGCTGGGCCTGGTCCTCTGCTGTGCCTTCACCACAGGCCCGGTCACACAGATGGCTGCTCTCACTGACAGTGCTCCAGGACTGCACCCCGAGGGACCCACGGCCCCCTTCTGCTCTCATGACCTCCCTCTCACAGGCACAGCCCCGGCCAGGGGTGTTTCTGTACAAGGCATGATCACAGCTCTTTTCACGTGGCCCCCTCTCCTGGGCGAGATGCAGAGGCTCGAATGATTCTCCAGAAATGCCGTCAGTTTCTGCCTCCACAGGGATGGCAGAAATACAGGCTGACCCGCTCTGACCTATGTCACGCCTGCTGCCTCGTGAATGGGTGTCTGCTGCCTGCCTGTGACCAGCTGGGGTCTCTTTGGTTTTCTTTCTTGCAAAGCCATCAAACTGCTGCAGCTGCGATGCGTAAGACCGGCGGAACGCGGGTCTGCGGTCAAGGGTGGGAGGCGGAGACTGTGGGATTAGAGAGATGGGACACTCGCCAAACGCCGATGAGTATGACAACCACGAACTTCCGTTTCTGAAACCTACAAAGAAAACAGTTAGCTGTTGTAGGACTCCTGCAGCCAGTGGCCATGAGTGGTTAAAAAAGGCACCTCCATGCCACTTGTTCACTAAGACCTCCCAGCTACACCCTAGATATTCCTCGGAGTGAACTGTGGTGGGACTGCAGAGCCCTTCTTCAGCACTGCAGCAGACCTCTCGTCTCGGGCAGTGCCCAGGGCATACCGGGTTGTGTGCACGTAACTGTACCTCTACTCACTGCAGAACAGACCGAGAACACAAGGATAAATCATGGCAGTCGTGCTGCACTGCCGGAAAAGTCGTGATGAATAGAAAAAATACATCATGACCTTTCTACAACCCAGCAGCGCCAGCCGTATGACTTCACCCACACCTTACAGAGCAAGAGGGACAGTTCTCTGGATTTAAAGCCCTTTTTGCTACGGGGTGGGTGAGCTCGCCAGAGACACAGAGAGACAGAAAGCACCCCCAGGGGGTATGACCACATCACAATCCCTTCTCCACTCTCCTCTCAAGGTCTTGGGCAGACACACACACATGCCCGGATTGAGTTTCAAGCCACCAAGTTCAGGACTCAAACTGATCAGCAACGTAACCACTGCACCAACTCCTGGTCCCTGAAACAGAGTACCAAGGTTGTGGGTGGACTTGCCCTGTGGCCTGGGGGCCTAACTGTGCTAGATCTCATGTGGCCCACCCCTGGTCTGAGTCCTGGCCCCGGGGACTGGAAATACTCAAGTGTACATGCTTGCCCCAAATCCCCACAGGATAGAAAAGTGGCACCATTCCCCACTGAGGAGACAAGTACACCTCATGAACAGAGGTGCAAACACCGTCTAGCAAACATCACCTCCACCAAGGCCGAGGACATACCGAGCAGCACAGGACCAACTGGGACTCATGGAAAGCATGCAGAGATGGCCCGCCCTGCAGTTAATAAAACCCACCCCTCCGGCTGACTGACAGTCACGTGATTATATCACAGAACCAGGAAACCATTTCAGAAAAATCAACAGGATTCATCATGAAAACGTGGTTCAGGTCAGCAGATGGCACAGTGGTTACACTGCTGGACTCCCACTTGGACAACCAGTTTGAGTCCTGGACCTGGTGACTTAAATCATGCCGGGTGCATGTGTGTGCACGCCCAAGACCCCAGGAGAATAGAAAAGGGACTTGTGGCTTGGCTATCTCCCTGGCGGAAGATGGGGTGGTTTCTCACTTTCCCTCTCATTGTTTCTCTCTCCAGAGGGTGTACATGCCCTATGACAAAAAACTTAAAAAAAAAAGTTAAAAAGGAAAAGCTTGGTAAGCTAGGAAGGGAAGAAAATTTCCTCAGCCCAGTACCGAGAGTTTCCTGCTGTGATCTGAGAAAGGCCAAAGATGCTCCTTCTCCCCTGGTTTTCCCCATCTTCCTGGATGCCTTGCCCAATGCAATAAAAAGGAAAAGCTAAGAAAAAACAAACTACTACTTCAGATAACATGACCACATGTGCAGAGAATCCAAAGGAATGGTCAAAAATAGTATTTAACCGAATCTTGGGTTGTCGGAAAAGTCATGACGTTTCCCTGTCTTTCTAAGCAAACAGGTATCATGACTTTGACGACAAATCAGTGACTGGTTATTTCAAGGTTTTAAGACACAAGGATACTACACAAGTCAATTAATTTCATATACTCTAGCAAAGAACAAGTGACGTTTAAATGGATACCATTTTCATTAGCAGCCACCCAGAAACACAAGTATAAATCAAACCATATGCAAAAGATCTTACTTGGGGGAAATTTTAAAATTCTGTTAAGGGGGACCACCATGTGGCACAGTGCTTAAAATAGTGGACTCCCAGATGGCTGACCCCAGTTCAAATTCTGGACCTAGCAGCTAAACTCACGCGAGGCACACATGCATGCGAACCAATTTTCAAGAAAATGGAGAAGGGACTTCAAATATGTCCTCTCCCCCAAGGGTGATTTCTCACATTCTGTGTCTCTCTGGCAAGTGCCCTATAGTAAAACCTTAAAAAATAAAATCTGATAGAAACACTAAGTAAATGAGGAGCTATCCCTGTTCATGCTAGCTAATCTTAACACTATTAAGATGATCAGTTCTTGGGCCAGCGGGTAGAGTGGAGATTAAGGCACTTGACTCCACATGGCAGACTGCATGGTTCAAGTCCTGTACCAGGAGGCTTGGAAGTCTTGCCGAGCTCACATACACATGTAGCCAAAACACTGAGAAGAATGGAGAAGAGACTGCAGTGTAGCCTTGCCCCCGCGTGTGATTTCCCACTCTCCTCTCTCTGGGGCACAAGCGCAGTACCAAACCCCAAACACTGGACTACAGGCTCCCAGGCCACCTGCAGAGGTGGCTGAGATGGCACGAGCTGGACCCCACGCAGACCTCAGTGCCATTTCCAGCACCAGTGGCAACGTGCCATCCCATTCACCATTTTATGCCCAGGATCCTGACAGGATGAACGAGTGGGGGGAAGGGCTGTGGCAGAGCCGGGACCATTTGGGAGTGCTTAGTCTCTCTCTGCCCTGAGCATATGCCTGCTGGTCAGAAGCTGCCAGCTCTTCCTAACTTGGTCTACGGATTCAGTGCAATCACAGTTAACAAGTGATGTTACAGATTATGAGCAGGACCCCCCGTAAACCTACAGCAGTCAAGACAATGTGATACTGGTTAAAGAAAAGACAAACATTGGGACCAGCAGTTAGTGTAATGGCTATGTTGCTGGACTCCCATGTAGTCGACCGCGGTTCGAGTCCTGGACCTGGTGGCTTAAAACTCACACCGGGTGCGTGTGCGTGCGTGCCCAAGATACCAAGAGGAGAATGGAGAAGGGATTGTGGCATGGCCATCCCCCCGGGGGGTGATTTCTTGCTTTCTGTATCTCTGTCTGGTGAGTGCATGCACCTTATAGCAAAAAACAAAAAGCAAAAAACAAAACAAAACAAAAAACCCAAAAAAACAAACCAGCAAACAAACAACAACAAAAACTGAACTGGACCTAAATATAATCTGAAAAGCCCTAAAAAATAACCCTCCAAGATAACAGTAGAGTGTTCAGATTCCTTGTGTGTGGAAACAATGATGGCATGAATCCGTGGAAAACAACAGAGACACGTCGGACACGATGCACGTCCTGACCTACAGTAACACGTACCCATGGCAGGGCACACAGCAGGGCTCAACATCGGTACTCCTGGATCAGAACGGATCAGCACACTCCCTGGACTTGCCGTTCTACCCACTCTGCTGCTTCGGTCCGTGTTCCCCTTCTTCCATCCCTCGCTCCCCTTCTCTCTGAAGCTCCTTCCCTTTCCCGAGTGAGCCCTCACACTGACAGAAGTCCTGCATGCCTACTTTCCCTGGATTTTCTCTAGTCTTGTCCTTCACTGCACGTTAATCTGGAAACAGCAGCTTTCAGCATCTCTAGATCTCACTGAAAAAATGACAGGAAGTAGCGCTTAATCCCACTTAAGGTACCTTTCCCAACAAGGCTAAACTCGGAACCTTAGGACAAGATTCTGGGCTTGATTACAAAGTAACTGAGGGAAGTCACTAACGCTGAGCCTCACCTCCTCCCTGGGAAACAAGGACAGCAACCATACCCTGGAGTACTGAGAGTACAAAATGGCCCATTTTACGGATTTAACAGAGAAATGAGCAGATCGCTACGCAGATGGGCCTTCGTTACATCCAGACAGTCCCATCATAAGCGGAAAATAAGACCTCAAGTCAAAAAGGCAGGTGGGCGACCTTAGGAAACATCATGGCTGGCCCAAAACCTGCTCACCACCTCCCAGTGGCCTACAGTCTGACAAAACCAACCAAGGAGAGGACTAGGTCACAAAGTATCGAGTACCTTCTTCACTCAGTGAACACTGGCTGCATGAGGCTCTCCCAGAGCCCTAATCCAGACGTTAACACAAACTACACCTCTGCTGTCGCTGACACACCTTTTCAGCCCAGGATGGATTTACAGGGTGGGTCCCTAATCCCATCCATGTCTTCACTCCTTACCTGCCCCAGGACTGCTGAGAGGATTATAAGCCGGGTTCTGGCCCCAGAGGCCTGGGAATGGTGGCTGTCCCACGACTTGCATATAAAAGGGCCCGGCGTTGCTGCTGGCAAAATGTGCACCGTTTTCCATGAAGGGGTTCATTTTTCAGGCTGAAAAAACAGTGGCCAGTCAGGGAAGGACAGGAGCACTCAGCCCCCACACTGGGGCGGAGGAGACTAAAGGCATTCCAGCTCCCCCTGGGACTGCAGGGTCGGCTGGGGCTCCAGGCCTTCCCGTGCTGCTCACCCGGGGTCCAGGAGACAGGGCTGCCTGCAGGCTGCCCAAAGCAGCTGCTCTGGGGCCCGGAGGAGTTGCCCTTGGCGGCTGGGTGCGACCTGGCACGAGCAGGTTCCTGCTCGGGCTGCGGCAGCACCGGGAGCCCGTGGCCCTGGAGGTGTGCGAAGGCAGCCGTCTGGGGGCCGTTCTGGGGTTCCACACCCGAGGGGCCCCGCGCATAGGCCCGCCAGCCCAGGCCTCGTCCTCACCTTCTCCCAGCCCACCCTGACCCTGCACCAGGCCCAAGCTCCCCTCGCACCGGTAAGAGCCAGCCCGCGGCTCACCCTGCTCCCCGGCCTCTGCACGGGGCACCCTCCGCGGCTCCACACTGTCTGCCCTCGCCCTCCCACTCCGCAGTCCGCACCCGACCTGCACTCCCAGGACTCCTCTGCGTCGAATGTGCCAGTCGGTTCCCGCAGCTGCTCGCCCAGCCTCAGTACGCCGCCGAAGAGCATGCTCCGGCGTGCTTCGGCGTGCGCT